AGTTGTAAGTTCAATAATTCGATTTAAACGATATTTTTGTCAAAACTTGTGTTCTTTTATCCAAAGTTCAATAAAATTCACACAGCAAGTTTTAAGGGGCCATTGTGAAAAGAGAAATCAATTTTCAAGATCTGGTCATTATAAAAATTTTTCAATCTTCTAGAAATGATACAATTTTCGGAAATAAAAGTTTCCATACTTTTTTTATTCGATACATGAAGTAGAAACATCTTTTATGAAGTTATAACAGTTTGAGATATTGATAATTTCTTATCGTTATGTTCTTCACTGCATGTCTTAAATTTTAACTAAAAATTTGACGCAGCACAAAATGTTAATAAATAACATTATATCAAATAATTGAAATAAAACAAAATAAATAATTAATAAAACAAAAATAATTGATAATAGATAAATTATCTTGTACTTTCACAATTTCTTAAATTTTCATATTAACAGTTACATAGCTGCAAACACAATCTAGAAGTGATTGATAACTTCTAAGATAAATGTCTAAAGCAATAAATTTTTCAAAACCACCTTATGCTACTTTACATTGTTAGTTTCATCTAAAGTGGGTATCGCAGAACTTTACGTGAATATATCTAGATTCATTACACGCGGGTGACCTCTCAGGAATTTCTGTCGTACTTTACAGCAACAGATGTCCAATGTCTAAAGAACTGGTTTCAAAAGTTTGCGCATTTGTCTCTTTCAAGAGATTCATCTATAAGATTGTAATATATGTAAAAAAAAAAATCTCATTTTATTTTTATTTTTCGTAATTCTAGTATTTGCTTATCATTTGTGAAATCAAGAAGTTAAAAACTCTGTTTCTTTGAATAAAATCATTATATGCATGTATATATTTGTATAATCTGTTAACAGATTGTAATTTATTAGCGTAACATTAGTTATAAAGATATGTATGTATTTGAAGACATGTCCACACACTTCGTAATAGCTAAAAACTTTCTTAAAAATATAATTACTACTTCAAAAATTTAATTATTGGTAAATTGATTTAAAAATTATTGGTATATTGGTTTAAAAATAATCTCATCAAAGTCCTACGGTATATTTTTAATTTTAAATAGCGCGCCGCTGTGCTTCTAGTAATAAAATTAATTCCAACAATTCCCTATATTCAGTTTCCACTAGCATTGTACATCCTAGGAATATTTCCGTGAATATCTTCGCGAAGTTATTGGTATTAATACGATGAATGAAGACTGGTGAATATCTAAACATAACTAAATAACAATTACGATGTTGCAATGTAATGTCGATAATATTTGAGTATGCTTACCAATATCTAATTCGAAAAAAAATATTCTTTAATAAACAAATATCATGACAATTCTCTAACTTCTAGAGGTTATGTTGCTAAGTAACTAATTTTGTATTAAGTTAACGAATTCGTGAAAGAATTAATTCTTTGCAATAAACATTGCGAAAATGGCATATTTAACAAGAAAAGAAATAGATGAAATGAAACCACAAATTGAGAAAGCAGTTCACAAATTTCTTGGTTTTGGGGAGCCTGCTATTGTTACAACGGCTGTCAATTGTATTACTTCAGGTTATGATAAACGCAAAACAGCAGGTTTGTAATAATCAATTATTTACGTATCTTATAAATTGACACTGAATTATTAATGATACTATCTAATATATATAATTAATAAAGAATCTAATCCTCAATAGATCATTTACATACATTTCTATCTCATTATGGTATAGAATAAAAATACATGAGAATTCTTCACATTCTTCTAAAAATAATTTAATATAATTAATATTAAACTTTATTTTAAATGTATAATTTATACGATAGAAATTAATATATTTTTCTAATATTTGCTCAATTTTATAGATAAATTATCTGCTCTGCTAGAAGATAAAAAAGCTTCAAAACTAACTGAGAAAATATTTACAATATATGATGATGCTAAAGCAGCACAAAAAAATAAAAAACGAAATCATGTGGAAGATAAGGATAAAGATAAAGATGCGAAAAAACCCAGATTTAAAGATGATGAAGTCAAAAATGAAAAAACGACAGAAGCACAGTTATCTGCGGATAAGGTATTAGTGACGACCTAAACCTAACCTAAACCAAATATAAACATGTAAATATAAATCTTGTGTTAATTATTTATCGCTTTCATGCAGATAAGACAAATGATGGCTAATGCTCAAAGAGAAATTGAAGAAAGAAAAAGGGCATTAAAAGCTATAAAACAAGAAGAAGCTGCTCCGATGAAACCTCTACTGAAAACACGAGATTCCTTACCAACCGTAGGAAGCATGTATAATCAGGGTTTACTAAGTAAAACAGATTCTGACAAAGCACGAAAAATTGCTGCTTTACAAGCTCAAATTAGAAGTAAACTAAGTTCTGGACTACTGGGTAACGTTAGCATCCCAGATAAACCAACGCCTTTGATCTTAGATGAATCTGGAAGAACTGTAGATATAACAGGCAAGGAAGTACAGCTTACACAAGTAGTACCAACATTAAAAGCTAATATTCGAGCAAAGAAACGTGAAGAATTTAAAGCCCAATTGCAAGAATCAAAAGGACCAGAAGAGATCCAAGATACACACTTTTTTGATACTAGAATAGGGGTCAAACCGGCAGTACGAGGCAAACGTACACTCAAATTTCATGAACCTGGAAAATTCCAGCAATTGGCAGAAAGAATTCGTATGAAAGCCCAATTAGAGAAGTTACAAAATGAAATTAGTCAAATTGCTAGAAAAACTGGTATAAGTTCAGCAACTAAATTAGCCCTCATAGCACCGAAAACGGAAGCTCTTAGCGAAGATGTGCCTAATGTAGAATGGTGGGATTCTGTTATATTAACAGGAGGTTACCCAAACGAAGATGAACCTACTACTATCAAAAGTTCCACTATTACAAATCTTGTAGAACATCCGACGCAAATGCGGCCACCAAGTATGTGCTATCTAATCGTTTTTTTCTTTTTTTTTTTTTTTTTTTAGAGGACGCTTATTTCAAATTAAAATATATAGTTTGGTTAATTATTATTTTTTATTTTAGCTGATCCTCTGAAACCAATATACATGCCCGTATTTTTAACAAAAAGAGAACGCAAAAAATTACGCAGGCAAAATAGACGAGAGGCATGGAAAGAAGAACAAGAAAAAATTCGATTAGGTCTTGAACCTCCTCCAGAGCCAAAATTACGAATTTCAAATCTTATGCGAGTATTAGGCACAGAAGCTGTACAAGATCCTACGAAAATAGAAGCTCACGTCCGACAACAAATGGCTAAAAGGTTAAAAGCACATGAGGATGCTAATGCAGCTCGAAGACTTACTGCTGATCAGAGACGAGAAAAGAAGGCAAGAAAACTTAAAGAGGATACCACACTTGGTGTACATGTCGCTGTTTATAGGTAAGTTTAAAAACATATAATTAAATACTGTATCATATATATTATGGAAAAATTAATATTGCTATTATTAATACAGAATACGTGATCTTTTAAATAACGCTTCAAAGAAATTTAAAGTGGAAACAAATGCAAAGCAACTTTATCTAACAGGCTGTGTAATGCTTTTCCGAGACTGCAATGTCGTTGTAGTCGAAGGAGGAGCAAAACAATTAAGTAAATATAAACGATTAATGATGACTCGAATCAAATGGGAAGAAGATATTATAAAAGATAATGACGGGAATGATGTGCCGAATAAATGCGTTCTTGTATGGGAAGGAACTAGTAAGCAACGGCATTTTGGAGAAATTAAATTCAAAGTTTGTCCCATTGAAAAGATGGCACGAGAGCACTTTAAAAAACATCAAGTTGAACACTATTGGGATTTAGCTTATAGTGGAGCAGTACTTGATAATACTGACGATGTTCATTCTTAGAGATAGATTTTGTAATTTCAGCAATAAATATTAACACGCTAATATGGACACAATCATAGATAATTGCAATACATCTTAAATCAATAATTATTAAATAATTATGGGAGCAAAAAATAGCAAAAAATGGACAATGTAAACAATGGCACACGGAGCGAAAATAAAAGTGCTCAAGGCCTCTTCAGTAACAGTTTTATTTTTAAGTAGTTATAGAAACCCATCCAAAATGTGAAATGAAATTGTTCAAATTATTTCTAATAATTCAATCTAAGATCACATCTTTTATTTGTTAAATCAAATAAATTTTCTCTTTTGAAGAATTCTATTGTTATTACTATAATTCAAAACAAAGATCTAAGACATAAAGTGTGTTGCTTTATAATTTCTATCTAATATAAAATAAACTATACTTATGATTACAAATTACATACAAATAAATAACATTAAATTTATAAGATAAAAACCTTCACATCAATGAAAAATTTTTAAAATTTGATTATTTTTAAAACAGTGACATCAATTGTTTATTCGTTGTATCTAAATTTCAACTCTGTCTCCCCACGCGCGGCATAAATAATTAATTATACGTAATGCGTAATATCCTTTTACGGATTGCCGCGTCAAGATTGTAGGCGTTCAAGCGCATATAGCCAAGGTAGTTAATCATTCGTGACATGGTCGCCAAGGATCTTAATCTTTGAACAACATTATAGTCGAGACTGTAAGTGTCAATTAGCATAGTGCGATGGCACTGAAACGCTACATAAGATAGACTGTAAAAGACACACAACGCACGTATACATACAGTGTGCCATATGCATGACACAAAAGTGCGGATGCACTTTGAAGCCTTGAAACTGCACGTCCAACTGCAACTACAGATAACATAGTTTATGAAAGGTAAACCTTGGTTTTGTTCATTATACCAATCCGGCTACGGTAATGATGCGCTTTTACCGTATCCTTAAGTAAGTTTTAAGTAAGCGTAGCAGTACCTTGTCGACACCCTATATTAGCGTGATCCTTGCTGGGCCCCACTCTCTAAATCCACTGAACAGACTGAAGCTTTACTTTCGTTCGAGGATCAGTCTCAGTTCAGGTTTACCGCTCCGTACTCTTGCGCATTCCCGGCGCGGTTCTTGCGAAATTTTATGAAGCAAATGAATCCTATCGTGCATTAACGTACGTTAATCAAACAACGTTACGTTAATACCGAAAAGTTTTAGAGAAAAAATAAAATAAAATAAAATGTACGTGTGTGTGAAACAAAAACCGTTCAACGGTATATTTCTCTTCCTGTCGCGGTGAGTGTTATACCCGCCCATATTACGATTACTTCGCTAGTGATTTTCGTGAAATTTTAAGTTAATTTTTCTAGGAAATTAGTTTGGCATAGTTTAACGTTTGAAAATGCTTCCCTTCATTGATGTTTTAACGGTAATATCAGAGTTACAGGTTACTACATCTCTATCTAGTATGTATCAGTATTCAATTACTGCGAATTAAAATGCTCTCTTATTAAAGAGAAAAATGTTAAAATATCAATTAATGCATCATCTGTGTTATTTGTCTATGAGTAGATTTGGCATAGATAATAGAAACACATTAGTGTGTCAATAAAGCAAACATGTTGAGAACAAGTAAGTAGCTTATTTTTGTAACAAAAAATTGTATTTATTTTTAATACGTGTTACAAGCAAATACTTTGTAATTTATATCTTATGTATTAGCCTTTAGTTGACAATATCGTTTTGTTGCAATCCCGGAAGAAAAATCACGTGTACTTGCATTTATTTTTGTAAATATATCAATGTAAATTTTAAGTCTCCAAAATATTAATTTCGCACTGAACATCAATAATTATTGATATTATTGTGACATTTCGAGTAGTATCTTCTTTTATCTGACAATGTAATGTCAGATTAATATCTGTAAATATTTTTATTAAGAAAAATTGTAAATTTTTCTGCAAAGAAGCATGCATTTTATATGAGATACATAGTGACACATATTTATTGATATATCATATTTATTGATATATCAGAGAACTGACTTTTAATTATAAATCTGTCAAAGTCAAACTTTCTTTAACACTAGACCACCAACTAAAATTTCATAAAGAATGTACTACGAAACGTAGTTTTATTTACATCATTCATTATTAATTTTAAATTACATATTACATGTTTACATATATTTTCACATAATTAAAAAATATCGAAATGCACACGCAATGTGCAAAATTGCAATAATTTTTTATTGCAATTAATTAACAATGACATTTAAAAAAAATTATACATATGTATGTATATTGTTCAATTAAAAAGGAAAAATTTCGGCAGTGTTGATAATAATATTAAAATTTAATTTTTTTAACATTGAAGTGACATGACATAAACTTTGGAATACAATCTGTTAATTTATTTATTACATTCTCACAATAATTTGCAAATGATTAGTTCAATAAATTTATTCATTTTCTTTCATGTAAATAATTCCATATTAGTAGTTAAAATCTAATCTATTTTGTTATAAATATATTTGAAAGAAAATGTAGATAAAAATGGAAAAACAAAAGGAATCATCGGATAACGATTTTATAATAATAATTTATAAAGATTAGTATTAGATGCCATTATTACATTTAGTGCAAATCGGTTTTAAATTTTTTAATAAAATTTTTAGGAACAAATTACGTTCCCAGATAATGGCTACCACCAATTTATATGAACACTAATCATCGGAGCAGAGGAGATTACGTAAGAAAGTCACAAAAGAACTAGGAAAGAGTTAAATGTCAAGCAACGAATCTTTTTCAATCTCTTCTTAAGGTCGGACGAATTCGTTTCGTCCACAGCATGATCAAAAAAATCACTAAGTAGATACTAGTTAAGAAACTCGGCTCCAAGATGCACCTAAGTGTCACGATGAATGAACTTAACGCAATAAATAGAATGAAC